GATTTCCCAGCCATCTGAGGCGGCGAGTTCAGTTCTTGCTGGCAAGGCCGACGCCTGAGAGCAGGGCTTGCTGCATTGTTCGACCTAATCACGAAAGCTAGCTCTGTTGTCGGAGCTTGCGGTAGTGCTCGTTTACGGATTCTCTAGGTCATTGCAAACATGGCGCCGGGTCAAGTTTGACGAGTTTAATCAACTGTTAAGGTCTGCGGGTCGCGGGCCTTCCCCCACCTAACGATGGACTTAACCAATAGCAATTCCCCACAAAAATAAGGCCTCGAAGAACTGCTAGAAGGAAGGGGCCCCCGCCCGTGTGGCCCCACCCACTCCCTCGGAATGAAGAAGCCTCGTAGCCAGCAGAGTCTTGTCTTTAGGGGCTGCGTGGTTTTCAGCGTGATTGTTCAATGTCAAGCGCCAAGGGCAAGCCAACGCGGCTTGGCTAGCAACTAGTGCGCTCGGGAAATCTGACATGCCTGGTTACGTGCCTGAGAGCTCCTTGGTGCCTGGGCCGTCGCATGCCGTCTTCTTTTGTGCGTTGAGTCCGGTGACCCAAGCTCAGGAAGCCGGCGAAGCCCGCTGCCGAGGCGCCTGCTCAGGGCCGCTGCTGCTGGGCTCCTTGGCTTCATTGCTCTGCGCCGCAAGCGGATTGGTGTGCAGTTGGCTGCTGTCAGTGCTTGCCTCATACTAGTGGTATTTGGATGTATTTGGAAAATGGGACACATGTGGGACAGCATTTGGCCAGGCGTGGTTTTGGTGACGGCTGCGTCCTGAGTCCTGTCACTTCCTTTTGTAGAGACATGTGTTGACAGCAAAACTCCTGGACTCAGGCCGTAGGCCTGCCTCTGACGTCTGGTGCCAGCTGCACCTAGAGCAAGTGGCGGAGGGTAGGAGTCGGCACGAGCCCAGGAATGAATGCATAGGAACTCCCAGACATGCAGCTAATGATGCCTGAGGAGGCCGCCACAGTGGGCCAGTCTAGACTGACTATGTTCTCGTGTATCTAGCCGGTCTATGAGGCTCTTCTTTGCTGATCACCTCCGCCCAGCCTCAGTTTCAAAGTGAAAACTTGCCAGAGAAGCACTACCCCTATAATTCTGTGGGCGGGCGGTGTTGAGCGTGTACGCGTTCATTCTGACAAGCTGCTCCTTGGTCTGGCAAGTTGCACAGGCTGCCAGCAGGCAAATGCCTCTGGTGATGCTTTGTCATCGTTGCTTGAACGTTTTTTCCTAATTTGGTCTGTCTTCCCCAAACCTTGAGATGATGGACTGGTGGATTGCGTTACGCGAGGCCACCAGTCCGTCCGCACTGTCATGGAATGTTTGAGCCGCCTGTTGGGGACTTGATCGAGTCTCACTTGGGACATGCAAACGAAGAGGGCAGAAATTTCTGAAGTGAGCCGTGCAGTACCAAGCCGTCTCAGGGTCAGCGGCTTCGGGGTTTGCAGGATCCTGAGACCTTCTTACTTCTAAACTTGACTGAGACAGAAACTGACATCTCCTCTTAAGAGAGTTCGCTAGACTTGGTCTGGACTGTTTAGGCCGACCATTTGTTCTGGAAATTCTCAGTGCGCAAGCGATTAAACACGTGCTCACAGGCAGAAGTGCAGCAATACTCACCACTCAGCTGATCAAGAAATCTCCACTGGGCGGCTCGTCCAAGTTTCCAAGCTGAGCATTTGCTAGATGCCTACCAGGCAGTAGCCCCCAGCTTAGCCAGATCGCCATGGCCAGTCGTTTTGTGGCGTGGCCGCTGCTGTTGGCTGTCGCTAAGCACGCGCCGCAAGCTGCGGAACTCACCGCTGCACACCAGACGCTGCCTATGGCTCCAAGCATAAGTCAGGGCGGACATATGCGGACATCACGTGCACAGATTCTGGGGAAGGTTTGCCCACTATGGAGCACTAAGTCTTAAGCAAACAACAATTGATCAGTCATTTTGTCCGGAACAGAATGCTGGGTTGCTGCTGCACCAGATTACTACCGGCTGATTTGAGCCCGGGGTACAGTAAAGCCCTAAGCAAGTAGAAGACATCAACGTCGATCACGTGAGAAAGTATGCCAGGCAGGCCTTGCTGAAAGCCACGTGCCCTCTACTAGCTCTGATAGAGCGAATCAGCCGGCCCCCAGTATGAGTCAAGCTGCTAAGCCAGTTCACCCCCGCCTTACCAGTACTTGCGCACTTGCAGTAGACCGCCAAGCAGGGGTTGAAGTATTTCTTGCAAGGCTGGGAGCTTTCGGTGAACAATTTAAAGGCTTGCCACAAGTAGTTTGCTGACGCCTTGCGTCGAGCAACTTGAGAGTTCCAGAAAATATGCTTAGCCCTGCCTCCGCCGTGCTCGGATGCTCTCGAACATTGCGCGACCAGAATTGTAACAAAAAGTTTTGGGACTGGGTATCGAGCATTTGGGAAACTGTGAGACTGGAGCAGATAGGGTACCTGTTCAAGGCAATTTCATGAAATGCTTCCCACCGAGATCCGGACTGCCTTGCGGGCCGCCGCTTCTGCCAGGGCAGGCCATGATGGAAGACTGAACCTTGCCTGCAGAGAGTCGCAGAAGGCATCAGGCATCAGGTCGTATGTGGGAAGATGTGGGAAGTCGATTGTGCCGCCCTCCTCCCGCGGAGGTCGCCCCTGTCTGTTGGCTTTGGACTCGCTGCGAGTGGAACAAGGGAGCTTTCCGAAAGCCTATGAAGCCCACAGACGTCCTTGTGTAGGATCTTGGAGCAGATTATGCTGATATCCAAAGCTTCTGCGGCTCAAGGAAGCCACTGAAGGTCTAGATGTTTTGGCATCCCCACCCACAACCTTTGAAAAGACGATGGTGCATTTTGAAGTTTGGGTTCTACGCGCGATGCTGACACACCCTCGTCCGCCAAGTTTGTGCTTTCATAGGTAGGTCCAACCCGCTAAGCGCGAGACTTTGGATACGAAGGAGTTTCCCTTCTTGTCCACCTTTCATTGCAGAGACAATGTGCATGAATCGATGGCGCCGGCAGGCGGCAGCTGCCAGATCTTGTAGGGGATGATTTTGTGAGGCATCATTTGCTGTCTGCAGATTTGTGGTCGCATCTTTCTGGGGTCGTGCAGTCCCTCTTTATTGAACTTTATTGCAAATCGACTTGGAGTGTGTGCGCGGCATTTTGGGCTGAAAGCGGAGTTCAACACTCACAAACCTCGGACGAGATAGAAGAGTTGATTCTGAGTCTTAGGTCAAGCCAACGAGTCAGTGTGTCAACAATGCAGACATACCAGCAAGTCAGCACACAAAGCTGGTGTGCGTTCATTCCACCAGCGGTCACTCTGTCCTGCATGCGCTTCCCTTGCAGATGCGCGTCTTGTTGGTTGAGGTAATGCCCGGAATGGTGTAATGTACTTCTTTTTTTTTGCGCGGCCTACATTCAGCATGTGAGGTTCGGCGGTCAGACAGGTTCACTTAGGTAGGATACTGCAGAGCAATCCGTTATTGCACTACTTGTACCTGGCCCCATGGCACATGACAGATGAGCCTGGACAGCCCCTTTGTCGAGGAGTTCATTCCCTATTGCCCAGAGGAGTTCGACTTCGTCTCACATGTCCGGGGCATACTGGAGTCACCGGACACTAGCATGGGACCAAGGGAAGGCTTGCATGAAGCCGGACATGAAGACCTGAGCCAGATCCACCGGTGGTTCCCACAGAGTGGGAAGAGAAGGCCGCGCATGAGCTCCCAGCTGGTACACACGGAATTTTTGGATGTTTATCATAAATTCATACGTGAAGTAGTGAGATCAAATCTGCAAGAAGAGGTTGTCCTTTTTGAGCATTGTCCCAACCTGCGGATTCACCTCGCTGGCGAAAAATCCTTGACAGCCCCACACAGAGATAAAGATCACCACCACTCAGAAGCTGAGCTCAATTTCTGGGTTCCACTGACGCCGTGCTTTGGCAATGCTAGCCTGTGGGTGGAGTCAGCACCAGGAAAGGGCGACTTCCATGCTCTTGTCGTTGAGCCAGGTATGGCCGTTCGCTTCTATGGCAACCAGTGTCTCCATTTCACAAAGGCCAACAACACCGAGTATACCAGAGTTTCTTTTGACTTCAGAGTTGTGCGGCTTCGAGATCTGGGCTGGTCGCAAATACCTTTCCCAGGCTCCGCAGAGACTGCGCGGTGGATGATCTTCTCGTACTACGACGTCATGGGTGCCGATGGGCATGTGCTTAGCTCTGAGGACTGGGAGGCCCAAGTGGCCCCGAAGCTGCCAGGCTTGTCAAAAACCTTCGGCTCCAGCTACACAGGTGTTCTACAACAAGCGGTTTGCCGTCCGCGTTCGCAGTCACCGAAGCACATCCAGAGTTGTGAGGCAAAGTGGGGATCTGCAAGGCAAGCGAGAAGGAACTGTGCACGCTGTGGCTGGCTGGCCAACCGGGCTCAACTTGAAACATCCCTATGCTACATAGATTCCGGCGGCATTAAGAGACCCTGGATCATGGAGAACCCAGATAAGCAAGAGCCCTGGGGTTTGGGATGCGTTCTTTGCCACCAGGCTTTCCTCGCCGGGCCGACGAAACCGTCTGACCCCGAACTTCCCTGGCCATCGAAATCGGCCTTCACGCAATTCACGTACGGGCTTGGCATGCCAGGCCTTTTGCAACAGCCCTTGTATCGCCACGGCAATCACGCAAGACTCCAGTCCTCCGATCGCGGCGCTGGGAAGCTGGTGCTGCCAAAGGACCTGGAGCACGCGGCCGCTGTGGAGTTGCATCACCGTACGATGGCCATGGGAAGATCCCCTTGAGCAGACCGAAGGTGGTAGCAACAGCTCAGCTGACAACAAGCACATACAATCCAGGCCGGTCTTGGCAGTTCGGACCTGATCCAGAGCAAGCGGTTTGTGCAGC